TCCAAGTAACTCCCCCCGTCCCAATCCCCAGATAAATGCAGTTTTTCCATTGCCTTTCTTCAGCTTTCTGGTTCCACATACCTAAGTAACATTGAAAACTAACTTGCATACCAAAACCCTGCAACACCCTTTATTAAAACAACAACAAAAACGAAGCGATGTCCCATCTCAACTCTTGACGCTTGGCCCCAGAATGATGTTTGCTGGCAGATGGATGGAAATGCAGCAAATACATCTGGCTGGGATTGCTGCTCAGCCAAAATAGATGCACGAAAGACCCTCCATGGACATGACCCTTTGTCGCTGTCTGTCCAGTCTTGTGTTCTGGTGGGTTGCTGTTGTCTGGCTGTCCCCATTATGGCTGTATGACTTGGTAGGCCAACTCTGTCTTCTGACACTTGGGAGGGTGTGAGTAAATCTCATTTTGTACTGATCTTTGGCCAACCCAATCTGTAAGTTTGGTGTTTTCATTTTCCCAGCCGGAGCTTTGGCTGGAAAGGCTAGGAGCAAAATTTTTGAGACCAACAGAACTGAACCAGATCAAATGTTGGTATTGTACAGCTTGCTTTTTTTTTTTCCAAATGTTGTTCAGTATCTTAAGATGTACAAAATTGATCTCTTTAATGTAGGTATGAAACTGTTGGTTGAAAGAGGGAAGAGATGTTTGAACTGTAAAGAACAAACAGGCAATGTCATCTTAAGCTGTCGTGGTCAGAAACTATAAAATTACTTTTTGGAGATCCAGAGAAAGGCTTGCAAGCCTGAAGGCCGTCTGTTTTTACCAACTCTATCAGTTGGTCTAAAAAGATACCGCCCCCTTGCTTTGCTTAGCATGAATAAAGTGATTTATGGAAACTGGAGGAAAATGTTGTTACAATTCCCATTTGTGTGCCAGAGGAGAAGGGGATAAAATAAAACTCTATAAAGCTGAGAGTCTAGAGGTGCTCATTTGAGCCCCCTGTTGTGGAGAATAAAACCCCGTTGCTTAGGCTGGCATCCTGCTTTGCCGCTTTAACAGTTAAACTTGCTTCAGAGAGCATTTCTGGGGAAAAGGAAACTGAAAGCTGCACTGAAAAGCCAGTAGGTGAAATTGGGAGTTGCCTGATCTATTTGATCTTTTAAAAGGACAAGCTCTGAACCAAGTTACGTGAAGATTGAGTGAGATGTGAAAGCTTGACAGTCACACATGCAGGAAACCTTAAATTGTTTCTAAGCTTCCTGGAAAATGACGTAGTGAGGTTATTGTTGCGTTTACTAATGATCATCCCATAGGTCTTACCAGTCAGCTTAAAAAATGTCTTCACTACCAGCACCTCATTCTTGGATGCAAATGGGCTCAACTGGGTTCATTCAAAATGCCTGCCGATGTCCCCTGAGAATAATAATCAATAATCGAGCACAGGGAGCGGAGTGTGGCCATCCAAATGGTCTGTTTTCTTTATCACGGGGAAAAAGGTTTGCTTTGTGCAGTGAATACTTTTATACATTCCTCGCAGAGCCTGACAAACTTCAAAAGTCTCGTAGTCTCTGAGCCATTTAAAAATGTCTCCTTTAAATAGAGCATTGTGGAAGGAGCATTGGTATGTCTTTAGGACAGAGCCTGTCTTTTTTCAGGGGGAGGAGATAGTAGGAAGGGACGGAAAGCTGCTATCTCTCCTCCTAACCCACCGCTGCTTTGAAAACGTGCTGGACTCGGGCAGGGGTTTCAATTCTTGCTAGCCCATCTTCCCTTTCTCGCTCTATCTGTCCGAAGTGGAAGGAAGCGTGTCTGTCGTGAACATTTGAACAGCAAACCCCCCCCCTCACACCCCAAACCCACGTGCACAGCTCTGGAGTAGTCCATGGAAGTGACACTAGGGAGCAGAGAAAAACCAGACTTCGGCAGTAGTGCTAAATTTCAGAGGTTTTGTTCACCCGAGATTCCAGGCGCGGGGATCGCTGGCAGCTGGCCAAGGAGCTTGGATGGCAGCCTACCCGTTCCTCAGCTCCGCTCAGCTTGTTCCCTCCCCCCTGCTTTTCTTTTTTTAATTGCATAATATGCTAGAAAATGATCTGGATTTGGGACTTATTTTTAACCAGAAGAGGCTCACTTCACCCAATCTGATTTTGGATTTAACGTCCAGCAAATGCTTTCTGAAGCTCCTTTCTTTTTGCATTGAAACCCTGACTTCTTTTGCCCCCTGTCCTGCTTCACAAGGGCTCTTTGCTTTTAAATGTTTGTCAGACATTCTTGGGGATGTTTGCAAGTCCTTAGCTACTGCAGGACCCGGGTGTGACAATCAAATTGGTGTTAGACCTGCCTGGTGCAGCCATTTTGCAGGCGTGGATCCCATTGGGAGAACTGGGAATTGTACTCAGATAAGGAAGGTGAGTTTTGTCTCCTAGACGATAGCTAGGCGATAGCTGCATAATAAAGCTTGTATGAGAGCAGTCAGGTTTGGGGTTAAAAATCTATTTATATGCCTGTTGCAACTTCTCTCTGGGTAGCTGGGGCTGGAATGCATCTTCCACTTTTTTTTTTAAAGAATGAGGCAGAAATCTCCATGCCATTTTATTAGCGTTTTGTTAAATGGAGGGAGGGATGCAGGGATGAACAGGGGGCTGTCTGTGATCCTATTAAAAGGGCAACTGGGTTAGCGCTCCAGCACCTCACCACTCTACCTGGGAAAATAAGAGAAGAAAGCCAAACATTTGCCCTAAGATGTGGAAGCAGGCCAAGCACGGGGTGCTGCTCTGCAACGCCTGCAATCCTACACCCCCCTCCTATGGGACAGGCAAGTGAAGTGTAGTAATGGCCTCTGCTCCTTCCAGTTTTGATTTAGATGTGATAATACAGCTTGTCTGGTAAACTGGGTCCATGCAGGTAGTGGGGGAGAGCGTCAGAGGGAACCTGCCATTTCACAAGCACTGGAAGAAGTGTCTGTCACAGGGACCGTGCTGTTTCACCCAAGTTATCATGGATATTTCAACAAACCAAACCCTGTCTGCTCACCGAAGATGGGTGGTGGTGTGCGGCAGAGGGTTGCTGAGCGTAAAGCCCTCCCCCTTCACACACGTAATATTAGGTCGTGCCTCTGTCACAGCACAGCGCTTCCTTCATTCCTCTGCGTTTTGGGGGGATCTTCATGTCACAAAAATAATGGTGACAAAATGAGGCTGGGACTGTGCTGTGTAGAGGAGCATTTCCAGGCGCTCTGAAACATCCTGGAAGAGACAGCGCCGGGGATTGAACTGCCCTACTTACTCTTAGCTCAGAAATGATTTATGATGCAGGGCAAGTTTGGTAAAATTCCTTTTGTCTCCTTCTTCAAAATCTATCATCTGACCAGGAGAAAAGCACATGCATTTATGCTGATTTTTGTTCTTTAGAAAGCCCTACGGCATTCTTTTGTTCTCAAATGAAACCTGACATGGATGTAGTCCTGAGTGAGGGACATGCTTTGATGGGGGAGAAGTGAAGACAAATGGTGCATCTGGAGCAACGCATCCTTGCTCTGGTGCAAAAGCTATTCTGTCTGTGGCTAGCAAGCTCCTGAAAGTCTTACCGGAGGAAGCAAAGGCTGCTGGCATAGCCTTAGTCAGGCAGAAGCTGAGGAAAGGATTTCAACACCACCGTGTGAAAATGCTTCCTGTACGCAGAAGAGCAGGGGGTGAGAGTGCAGCCCCCCCACCCCAGCCCTCTGTCAGAGCTGCCATTGCTTCATGCGCAGGTGGGGACGCAGCGCGTCACCCCCCCAGCACAAGGGGCAGGCAGGGCCTGCGCTCCCACGTGGTTTCAGAGTGTGGGACTAAGGGTGCTCCCTGGGGGCCCAGTTCCTGCAGGGGGGTGCTCAACACTTCAGGAGACACCAAACTCCTGTGAAGCTTTCCAAGGCAGATGCCTCCGTCCTCAAACTGGGACCCAGCTACTGTCAGGATTGAAGGCCCTGGCTGCAGCAGCAGAGTGTAGTGCAGAGGATGGTCTTGGAGTTTAGACTAAAAGACCTGACAGATCTTCTTCTTCATCTGTAATTTATCAAATTCTGAGTGTAATAACTGCATTTCCTGCTATAGTAGTTTAGTCCTTATGTGATGAGTTAAATAAACCCATGAGGTCAGATATGCATGTATCCTGGTGTGCCAAAGGGTTGAATCTCCCAACTTCACCGGGAAGGTTTCTCTCAGTATACAATTGCTTGAGCCTCGCTCCCCTTCTCCCCCC